CCAACATGAAAAACATTTTCATTTCAGTGTCAAATCTGCTGGCTCACACCTGTAATGCCAGCTACTTGGAAGGTGAAGATTTGGAGGTTCTCCCTTCAAATTTAGCCCCAGAAATAAGAAGACATCTTATTAACAAACCATGCAATCATGATAGTTCATATCTGTAATCCCAGCTATGCAGGAGGTGGTATGAATAGCTAGGAAGATTGTAGTTCAGGCTGACTCCAGGCAAAAACATCATAAGAACCTATCTGAAAAATAATTAAATCCAAAAGGTCTCAAGGTATGGCTCAAATGGTAGAGCATTTGCATAGCAAGTTCAAGATCTACAATTTAAACATCAATACTAAATAAAACTTACATTGCAGAATGCAATTATAATTATTCTATTTTATTATTCCTTATTGTTGTGAATCTCTTATCATGCCTAGTTTTCTTATAATGTATTGCCTCAATAATATAGGGAAGATACTGCATTTAAAAATTTTTGTATTACTAGGGATTGAATCTAGGGCATTGAATATGCTTAAGCAAGTGCCCTACCAATTGAGCCATACTCCTAATCCTTTTGTTTCTATATTACTGTTTTTAGAAAGAAATCCCTATTATTGCCTTAGCTGACTATGACTTGCTATCCCTCTGCCTCTACATGTTGAGTAGGTAGGATAACAGGCATTTGCCATCAGACTCACCATTGTACTTGAAAATTCTAATAAAGCATTTGGATTTGAATTTTAAAATAAATACATATTAAAATATATTTCATCACTATCAAATGTATACATGAAAATGGGTGAAAAAGTAAAAATGAAAACTTTATTGGTTGTTTTTTGTTGGATTTTTGTTGGTGATGGTGGTGGTCATGGCTTGAACTCAGGGACCTGGAGCGGTCCCTGAGTTTTTTCTCTCAAGGATAGTGCTCTTCCAATTTGAGCCACAAGGTCACTTCCAGTTTTCTGGTAGTTAATTGGAGATAAGAGTTTCATGGAGTTTCCTGCCCTGTCTGGCTTTGAACCATGATCCTCAGATCTCAGCCTCCTAAGTAGTTAGGATTATAGGCGTGAGCCACTACCAGCACCTTGCTGGTTGGTTGTTTTGGAGTCTGGCCTTGAACTCATGATCATCCTGCCTCACAGTACCAGAGCATCTTTTCAGAACATAGTTTTCATGACACATACATAATTTTGCAATATAATTTTTTCATTAGTCCTCCATTGGAAAAAAATAACATATATGTTGTTGTAGGTAAACAAAGATAGAAGTACTATCTTTGAAGCTGTTTTTCTAGTAAAAGTTATAATGTGACTGTCAAGAGAATATAGGTTTCAAGGGACAAGGAGGGGAGAGCTGCCAACTGTCCTCCTGGAGAATCAAACCTATGCTCCTCGCACCAAATTTACAGTATTCCTACCAACTAAGCTCTAACCTTGTCATTTACTATCTCAAGTGTGTTAAGTGTTATTGCTATTGCTCACAGACACTCCCTTCTTCAAATTCTCCCTGAATAGGATTTGCTCCCAAAGATCTCTCTAAATGAAATGGGAATAGATATTAACTTTTAAACACTGATTTTTTTTCTGGAAGTTTCTTAAGTTGCAAATTCATGAATTCCTTGGGAAATGATCTGCTCAGGCTGTCACTGACTACTTTTCAGCAGTCAGTGGGTTCCATTTCTTTTTATAAAGCTCATGTTATTTCTGTTGAGAAGGCTTGAGGTCTGAAAAGGGGGTAGGGGGAACTGGATAGCTCAGGGGCCTAAGGAATGTTATCTGATCTCTCTTACCCTTAGGCTTTTTTGAATTTGGCTCCTCTTCATACATTCTGAAAATATGCACTGGCCCTTCAGCAGTCATTGACAAGTGGGCTCTGGAGCCAGACAGCCTGAGTTGAAAGCCCAGGATGCTCCAATTACTACCTGTGAAGCTTTAGGCAAGTTAGTTCATCTCTTTGCCCCACTTCACTGACCTATGTAATGAATAGCTTAGAATTTTAGACAAAATTAAATAAGATGATACAGGTGAAGTACTCAGTCTGCTGTATGTAACAAGCAATAAGTTTTAGCTATTAAAATACTAACAACCAACAATTAAAAAATAACTTCTGCTTTTATGATAACAGAATGGATTGGAAGAGACAAGGATGGAATGAAGATGAAACATATAATATTGAAAGATAATTTCTGGGTAAAACACAATCTGACCAATTTTGGGGACGTAGACAAATCAGGATTATTTTTGTAGAGCTCAAGGTTGGGAACAAAACGGAGGGAAAAAAAGAACATGTCCAAAGGGAGTACTGGAATTGCTGCTTTTGGTGTGAAGGGAAAAGTAGTTCTGAAATTAGAAAACAAATGCTATATTTTAAGATTCTGCTCAGAAGTGAGCCTACCCTATTTGCTTTCTGGTCTTGTAGCTCCACCGACCTTCTCCTAGACAAGCATAAAATTTCCCATAGTTCCAGGTTATAAGGTAAAGTTTTCATCCTCTTCTATGCTTCCTTTTTCCTGAAAATAACATTTCAAAATGTATAGATTCACTGTCAAGTTCTGGTTAAACACCTACCTTCTCCCTCCCCCTATCCCAGGACAAGGTCCCACCAAGCAATGTGACTAATCCCTGTGGAGTCCTGAAGCCACTAGCCTCCCACCAAGTCTTGCAACTAGAGACCCCAATGATCAAGCCGGGATTCTTTTTCCTGGTCTGGACTTGTCCCCTTAAACAGACTGAAACAGTTTTCTATAGGGTCCATGGGATATTTCCCCACATTCTACGTTCAGCAAACTATATCGTCTTAAAATGGTATATCTGTAAACACTTCTCTCTTATAGTAAAGATTATTTTCACAGTGCATTTAACTATATGTCTTGACTCTGACTCGATTTCTAGAAACAAGATGTGTATATGAAACTTTAAATTTCTGTACGCTAACTACCCTTCTTAGTTAGGAAACGTTCCTTTTCAGACTCACATTTGAGAAGATAGGAAAGAGTTTTACTGATCCTCCAGAAATGTTGATATAGTTTAAAAGTGGCAAGATTTCGTGAGATGGAGCCATGAACATTTGAATTCATGGAAAATGTAGTTTCGGAAATGGTATATATAACACTTAGTTTGACGAGAAAATTCGATCCAGAGCGCCTAAGTTTGTATTTTGGGGCGACTTGGTGGCGGATTTTTCTCCGCAGTCCTTAAAAGAGAATTTTCTTTGTGTAACAAGCCTAAGTTCCTCAGGCAGACTGTGGCCATTACTGAGCTCACCGAAGGTTAAGGAATGTAAAAAGGTCAAACTCTGGCACTGAAACAGACACGAAATAAACAAAATCCAACACCATATACGGACAATAATTCCAAAAGCGAGAAGAGGGAGTCAGAAATGATGAACTCGAATTCAGTGGGCAGAATTATTCGTATAAATCTTGTCAGAGGAGGTTTTAAAAAGTAATTAAAAAAAACAACAACAAGGAAAACAAATCCCCTAATACGTCGCGACTAGGCGTTTGTTCGGGTGTGCGATCTCAGTCTGAGAGGTTCAAGCAAAATAAGCAGCTTTGGAACTTTTTGGAAAGTGTTCTTTGTAATGCAAGTGTTTCGTACGCGGTTCGTTTTACGCACGGACTCCTTTTTCCTATAAATGTTTCCAGGAGTGCCTTTCCTGAAGGCTAAAATCACATTTGTCCGATTTCAAGCCAGTGTAAGTCCCAGTGCGCTTTGTTGGATAAACGGAGATGGAGGTCTGGGGCGCCCGGGAACGTTTTGCAATGAATGGGAGAATGAATGAAACCCGGCCCGAACGTTGGAAACTGGGAAGCAGGCAATAACTTTTCTCTGCATTTTGCAACCAGAGCATCTGCAAACCTAGGAGTCTTGCCCGCCAGGGTCGCAGCCACTCTCTCAGGCTGCCTTAATACCAAGCACCTGTGAGCAGGTGCGATTCCAATGGAGTACCCAGATCCTAGTACCAACTCAGCCCCTGGGGCTACAAGCTATGCTGTGTGTGTGAAGGGGCGCTCAGGGCGACTCTGTCCCTGTTGCTCTGCTCAGTCCTCCGCTAGTCTAGGAGCTTCGCAGGCCAACCTGTGGCAGCCCCTGAGCTCCATTCCTCTGCTCCTACAAGGATTGCCTATTTCTGATCTCTAATCCGGTAGTAAGTAGTTTCTTCTCTAGCTTGATGATTGTGCGTGCGTGCAAGCCTGTGGTGGTGGTGGTGGTGTGTGTGCGTGCATGTGTGTGTGTGTGTGTGTGTGTGTGTATGCATGCAATAAACGGAGCAAGAAAATGAGAGGGGCATAAAAAGAAAATAAGACAACTAGAAAACTTAGCAAGTGTTTCTTGGGAAAAAGCGACGGTGCGGGCTGTTCAGACTGTGGCTGAGCTGTGGGGCCCAGGCTGGGAGCGGCGCGGAGCGGGACCGGTTTTCCGGGGCTGGCAGCTGCCTAGAAAAAGTTTCCTGTGGAACACTGGCCAGCGGGGGCGGGGGCGGGAGCGGGGGCGGGGGCGCTGGGCTCAGCCATGAAGCTCGGGGGAGGGGGCCGAGAGGGCGGGGGAAAGAGAGGAGGGCTGCAAAAGGCCAGTTTGCAAACCGTTAGAGTCCAAGAGCACCTCCCTCGGCCAATCCCCCCCCCCCCCTCCCTCAGCTTGCTTCCCCGCTGCGCGGCTGCCCACCTGGCGACGTGACGCTGGACCAATCGCCTTCGAGTTACTCCCCGGCCCCTTCTTGCACCGCCCCCCTCCTCACCCAGAAAGAGGCGCACCCTGCCGGGACAGACGCTGCGCTCTCGCCGCGGAGCACCCTTCTAGCGTCTTCCTCTCCAGGAAAGACGCTGGAACTCTCTCTCTTGCCTTAGCCTAACTTGATTTCCCGCCTCTCCAACTCCAGCTTCTTCACTTCACTCCCAACTTTTTCTCTCCACATTTCCCTCCTCCCCCACGCCACAAACCCTGTTCCCTTTTCCTTTCTCCCTCCCTCTCCCTTTCCTTCAGCTCCCTTCCACTCCACAACCTCCCTCCACCTCCTAACTCCCTAGCGCTCACCGCACTTGGTCGCCTAGTCGCCCGCTCCCGTTTGACTCTCGAAGCCATGGCGGGACCAGGGGGCTGGAGGGACAAGGAGGTCACAGATCTGGGCCACTTGCCGGTAAGTAGACGATGCCTGTCACCCTCTAAGTGCTCTCTTTTTGTGGGTTCTAAACTCCAGGGAAGAGACAGAACTCACGGTACCCGGGCTAGGCCAGGACTTCGATGGGACCACGGGCGGGTCGGCGGGCGCAAAGAATGAACCCAGGAAACGGGCACGCGGAATAGGTTCCTCTGGGAATCCGGGCTACAGCAAAATCCTGGGAAAACCAAAGGGATCTTGTGAGAGGCATTGGAGGTGGGGGCGGAGATGTACAAGGGGACCCCAAACAGTGGGACATTGCCTAATGTAGCAGACTTTGTCTGGAGCTGCTTGCATACCTGTCCTAGAGGAGTCCCAGGAGAAGCCACAAGGGCAAGGTCGCATGGCTTCTAAAGAGCATTAGCTGTTAACCCACTGCCCATGTTGTTCTTTTGTCAGAAGAGATGTCTACTCTTCGCGTGGGGGGGGGCATTCACTTTTAGACGGTAAAGGTTAAAAAAACTAATCAATTCTCAACTCTCTCGCTTTCTAACAGCGGTTTCTAAAACTTTATCCTCATCAGGACAATGTTCTTGATTTAATCATGAGGGAGCAGAAAGAACTCGACGCCACTTGGGAAAGAAGTGAATTTCACACACCCGCTCTAATAAAAAATTGCACACCTTAATTAACTAGATTTAGCCTACTCTCCTGGTTACCCGGTGCGGATTCTCCTTTTGCCTGGTACTTAACTTTTTTCAACAGTGGTAATCAATGGGTGAGATATTATCACTATCTTTATTAGCAGAATTCTTATTGTAGCAACGCCATTTATTTCATTGGCATCTGGTTTCTAGCTGATATTGGACACCACCCAAATCCATTTTTCAAGTTCCCTTTTTAGACTGGCATTTCACTTGCACCCTCTCTTGAATGCGAAGGCCCCCTGGACTCTACAAAAGGGAAATATGCAGGCACACTGCTGGAATGATCACCAGGCATCTGTAGTTCAGGGCAGTGGCTAGCCTGCTTTGGGAAAAGCTAAATATTAACCTCGAGGTTATAGGACTATTCAAAATCGCCTTGCCTTAATTTTACCCATATTTGATATTTACAGATTATATTTTTTATAATGACAAACACCTGTCTCCCTCACTTCTACTCATAATTTTACACCAGAGTGGTCTGTGTGAATAGGTGATGAACATGGGTAACATTTGGGCATATGGTTCTTAGCCATTAAAAAAACAAACCTCAATACAAATGAGTCGAATTACAAATTACTAGTGTTTCTTTTATTAATGCAGCTTCATAAAGTCTGGTAACAGGACTTTGTGTTTTAATGAAACCATTTTCCAGGTCGCATGCACTCGAATTCGTTTGCTTCCAATGAGATTTCTAGAATATGGAGGCCTCAATTGGTGGTTTCCTTTCTGAACAGAATTATTATATTCAAACTAAACTTGCTTCCAAGTAAGAGTGTAAAACCAAAGAATGAAATGTTACCCTCCTAGAACATTATATGAATATAATGGGGAGAAAGGAAGGGGAAGCAACCAGGGCAGATATGTGAAACCACACATGGGCAAACTGAAATAAACTGCTTTCTAAAAATGACTTAACAGGAATGGGAAAGACCTCATAGAAATAATAGGGCAGGGAATTCCAAGCCCAAGAAGAAAAATAAGTAAAAATTTTATTGCCACAAAAAAAGTGGTGGGAAATGGCCCAGACTCACTAACTGAGCCATAGCCTGGGTCATAAAAATTTGGTGAGAGCCTATGAGATAATCAAAAAACCCTCACCATTTACAATGCAGTTCAGTTGGGGGGGGGGGGGGCAAGGAGAGAAAGATAAAACTAGTCTGCAATGTAGAGTGAATCAGAGAAATCAAACCAATGATATTTATCCTTCTTTTACAAATATCATAAAAGTCGCATGAAGTCCTTAGCTTCTGAAAATTCTTAAATTTCTTATATTTAATTCAGGAACCATTTTGTCTTCACTCTCTAAGGAAATCATGCGTAATTCTTACCCCCTGTGTCCAAAAATGCAAATCTTAACCCCCAAAGGGCAAAAGATTAGCATATGCTTTAGAATTTTCTTTAAGTCTAATATTTACAGATGTTGAAAGTCCTGTTTGCTTTTGTCACTGAGGTATAGTTCAGTAATTTGGGATTTCTTTACATTTAACTTACTTCCTGAGCCTTTGAAGAAGTAAAAGTAAATGAGATGAATATACATCTAAGTTGGGTAGAAGTTTGCCTTTTGGAGAGATAATATAGCAAATGAAAATTGCATAGGAAGTTGTTCCTTACAATAATTATTCTCAATAGGACAAATGTGAAGGTCAGAATATTGGCATCTGTCACTACTAACTGTAACAAGTTGACAGCAGCCAGATAATGAGTGGAGATTCAAACTTTGAGCTGTCAAACTGATTAAAAAGCATTTTATAGAGCTAATGTTATTGCTCAGTGGTGGTAGGGCACTTCCCTAGCATATGCAAGCTCCTAGGTTTGATTCCCAGCTCTGGAAGGGACTGGGGGACCTTGTGGTGTATGGAGGTATAATTAAATATGGATCTAATTTAACATTGATGCATTGTGTTCTCTTCACTAGCCAGTTAAATGAGTGTAAGACTAAAAAAAATAAGTAAAAGTCTTTATAGAAAGCAAGTTCACTATGCTAATTTGAGTTTAGAAAAAGCAGTGGTGGGTTGAAACAGGAGGAACATAAGTTCAAGGCCAAACTGGCTACATAATAAATTCCAGGCCAGTGTAGATATAGCAAAACCCTATCTCATGAAAGTGGTGGAAAATTGTGATATTTTAAAATTACATAGATAATGCAATAAATATCAAGCAAGAATGAAAGCTGAAGAAGCAAAAAAGGTGGAAAATTGTATCATTTAACAATTTAAATTTTATTTTTGAATAATTATAAAACATTGCTTAATGCTCTAAAATTAGAGGCACAAAAGAACAGATCCAACATAATTATTAACAAACTGGGTAAATTCCAGCAAGCTAACTAATAGGTTGCTATAATTTTTCCTGATTTTCAGCTGAATAAATATTTCCTATAGGTGAAAAACAAAGAAATGTTGAGATTCATGGTTTCTACTTCGTTTTTGACAACAGAATTGCAAATTTTTATGCTTTTATATATCTCTTTAATTGTAAGTGTGTATATTGTATGTGTATATTTTTCACCTTATCTGTCAGCCATATCTAGGAGGTATCTGTGATCATACACATATACACATTTAAATGTATGCATATATAAATACATAAATACACTATATTTATATATATAATTTATATATCACATATACTTTATATAGTTTATATGTGTTAGATATGTAATTTCTAAATATATATTATACATATATAACATACAAAATATCTAAATATATATTATACATATATAAGATGTAAAATATTCTGAATGTATATTATACATCTATAAAATATATACATATCATTATATAATTGTATATAAGTCCCTCATGCAAGCCTGTGTCACACAATTTCTGAGACTGGAAACTATTTCTTCCCTCTCTAAATCTGGTATTTTTTCACTATGAATGTTCCTTTTGCCTTATGTGTCCAATATGACAGTGACATTCCTCACGACTGTGGCCATGATATTTGACACCTCCATGTATAGTTTTAATCTATATTGGGGTCAGGATTAGACAGGCTTTGAGGACAGTAGTGGCAGAGGTGGTCTGAAATAGTACTTGATCCCAAAAACTATATTTGAATTACATTAGGTTTGTATTTAAATTTAACTGCCAGCTTTCCTAATCTTCCACAACTAGAATGAAATCAGATTTCCGCATTCAGACACGGGAAACTTCCCACTTTACCAAGTTTTTAGCTTGTTTAAAAGCAGTTTTTACCTTCAAGTCCACCAAGACAGTAATACTCACCATGTCTTCCATTATAAGAAGACTATCTCCTCAGGTTGACATTGTACTTCAATCTGTTGTTTTAAAATTATTTTCCCCCAGTTTTTAAGAGTAGTGTTTTTCATGTTAGTGCAGGAAGAAAAGAGTACACGAGAATCAAGAATCATCTGGAGATCTTAGAGATTTATCTCAGGAAATTTTGATTTCACAATTTTATGTGAGGCCCAAGAAATCTGGAGATTTTTAATTTTTTGTTGTTTGTTTGCTTTAAAAAAAAAAAACAAACAGGATTCCCCAGATCATTCTCATGTATGGAGAAAGGGATTTTCTAAACTTTCTATTTTTAAGCCCATTTCTGCTCTGGATCTCATTCTAGCTTTTCTACTACCATTTCTACCATTCTGAGTGTCTTTCTCCATAAATTCTTTTATTCTAATATTAAAAAAAAGAGAAAAGCCTCTGCAAAATCCTCTTCAAGGTACTGTGCTATGTAATCTTTCCTTCCTTTTGTTGTCTGACTCTCACCCTTTTGTTCCCTCATTCTTAACATCCTAAATTTGAAGTTTATTACTGGTTAAGTATTTATTAATTCCTTTTTCTCCTCAACATCTGCCATATTTGCTTTTGTGGATCAGACAGCTTTTGAAGATCTTTCACTTGACCAGTAAACACTGCCTTCTAGTGGTTCTTTTTCTTCCTGTTACCCCCACCCTTACTAAAATTAGTCATCCAGGTGCTCATTCTTTCCCTCTCCTCCTGAATTCAGAAGACAGAAATAGTTCTGGATTCTGAGACTAGGGCTTTAAAATTGTAGGAAACAATTTAGATGCGTAAGAAGTTAGGACAAATGAAGAAATATTTTCTTAGCAGTTCTTGGTTCCATAATATTTTATCACTAACTTTTTTATTAATTTTTTGAAAATCTTTCAAAATTGGAGTTTCTTATTTACCAACTATTTTGTTTACCCAAATATGATACCAAAATGTAATAAATCTTAAATAATGTCCACATTTTTAGAACAGTTAGAGAAACCCTTTCTCCCTTTTCGTTTCCTGATCTCAGGTGAGCAAGGCATTAGAGAAGACAGAGATATATGGAGACATCTCTGATTTGAACCTTTAGTTTCATGGTAACCAAAGAGTCCTTTTCAATGCTTCCTCCCTTGGGAACTCAGAATAGACTTGCTCTGAATAAAAATGGAAAATGTAAGAAATCAGATGTCATTAACTTATTAATTAGCAAACCCCTTCCTAGTGTCTCTATTTGATAATAATTTATTCTTGAAATATAGTAACATGGAATGAGAAATTAAAAATAGCACAGAAAATGAAAACAATGAGTATATGGATACTAAGGTGAGTTGCATTTACAAAGAGGAAATATTTTCTAAGAACATGTGTCTGTTAAATGTGAGCATGACAATAATTAAGACGGCTGATTATTTGAAATAAGATAATTTGATTATTATTGAAGCTAATTTTCTTAACAATAAGAATGCATATCAATTATGACATCTATAATTTGCACAGGCATTTCATTATCCCAATATTGCGTGCCTAAGTTCAAATCTCAGTGAAGGATTAAAAAACAAGATTAAAGACATTTAAGACTGTGCGGAGAAATAAAGCTTGTATAACACTACAGTAAATCCCTAATCTGTCTTTTTCACCTGAATGCAGTGCAAACTATACTTTCCAGTAGGAATCAGCTAACATATTTGATTGTTTTCAATGTAACTGGAGGCTGTTTCTCCTTAATTACTACTGTATAAAATAAATCTACCAGTGGTATTCTTCAAAGAAATGTGCTAAAATTATGAGGTCTTTAGGGTAGACCTTCGTGGCTCCTTTATTGACTGACATTTTCACAAGTCATTCAATGAGTTATATAAAAAATGGTAGGCATAGTAGCAAGGGCACTCAACCTACTTTAATTCCCTAGATTTTAAAACTGTCATTTTAAATAACTTTCACATTTTAATTGGAAGTGTATTTCTTGACCTATTTGCTTATAATTATACCTTTATCTATTGTGACATTAACTTTCTAGAGCATTTTAAGAAAGCAAGTTGCTGGGTGGCTGGCTGCTTTACTAATAGTTCTATTGGCCTAGTGGGAACACTTGATTTTTAGACTGGTAGAATCTGATATTTTCCTACAGAATTTTGGAGCTCGCAAATCACCAACACAATTGCTTCATTTCATACAAGTGAAAAATGAATTCCAGAGAAAGTTTATAACTTACCTAGAGTCATATAGTTAATTAATGGCAGAGCTGGAGGTAACAATCAAGTCTCCTGACTTTCCACCCAGTTAACACTTGTTGACTGACGTAATCCCTGATGTGTCATTTTCCTATGACAGATTTGCTAGATTAAACCAACTATCATGCCATTTTAAAAGAATGTACAGTTTTACCCATACATGTTACAAATATTTAATATTTTTTCTGTTTAGCTTGCAGTTGTCAGAGTGATAAAAATGTTTCTTGACATTAAGCATTTGTGTTCTATAAATAATGTGAATTGCCAACTATTTGCCACTGTTTGTGCCATCTGGTATATTCATGCCTCATATAAGTGTTGCTAAAATTATGAAAATTCATTATGAAATAATAAAGAAAAGTGTCTGAGGTCAAACAGTGATACAATTCAAGAAATGATGTTTTGTGAAAAACAGAAAAATAATTTCTCTATATAAAGGTAAGGAAATAATGCTTGGGGATGAATATGGAAGCCTTAGGATTCCATAAATATATGTGTTTATTAAGATGTCATTTGTGCTTAAGTGTCAAGAAAGATCAACTCATGCCATGCAAAGGCCAATGCAAAGATTATGTTTAATTGAAGATAAATGTTTAAGAAATAAATGAGAATCTCATTTATATTTATGCTTTACATGTGCATGCTTTATGTGTACTACTGTGAAGTCTTCATATGTACATATGAAGTATATATAAAATATGTACATATAAATTATATATACATATATGCACATATAAAAAGAACATAATTACCCAGGCATAGGTAGCTCACAGCTGTAATCCTAACTACTCAGGAGGCTTCAATCTGAGGATCCCATTTCAAAGCTAGCCTAAGCAGGAAAGTCCATGAGACTCTTATTTCCAATAAATTACTAAAAATACCAGAAGTGAAGGTATGACTCAAAAGTGGTGGAGTGCTAGTCTTGAGCAATAGAAGCTCAGGGACAGCACCCAGACCCTGTGGTCAAGCCCCAGGACCAGCACAACAAAAAGAAAAGGAAAAAGGAAAAGGACATAATGAAATCATATTAAAATTTGTAATAACATTTTAGAAAATAGGAATTGGGATGATTAAAAAACAGTAATAAAGAGGGTAGCTATGATCAAAGTACATTTTATACATACATACATATTACAATCAGTATCTTCACTGTGAGTAATCAATATACATTAATCACAAAAATAATAAAGGCCTTTGGAAAAAAGACTCCAGTTCTGAAAACAATAAATCCAACACTATCTTACTTTTTAATGATGTTTTTCATGCCATTATCTGTGCTTTGTGATTCATACATAGAGTCAACATCTCTTTAAGAGTTTCTGTAATATAAACAAGGTATCTAGGTTTTAGATGCAATATCTAGTCCTCATTGTTGAATGTTGAACTTCCTGCCTGTCTGGTTAGCACTGGAAAATGAATATTAAAAAAGTACTTCAATAGAAAGTAAGTGAATTTATTTCTATTTTAATTATCTTTTAAATTGCATGAGTTTGTGTAATCATATGTGTTTTATAGTATTGAGATCATTGAATACACAATATTTAATGCCCATTCCACCATTTCTGATGATTGTAACATTTCAATTCTTTTCAGAAATGACACATACTTTCTAAGGCAAATTGGTATTTTCTCAAGTAAGATAATAGCTTTTATTCTACTTTTGCAGGATCCAACTGGAATATTCTCACTAGACAAAACCATTGGCCTTGGTACTTATGGAAGAATCTATTTGGTAAGTGATTTAGAAGATTTCTTCATTCTTCATTTTCTAGTAACAATAATTGTAAGTCAGAAATCCCACACTGCAAATCAAAAAATGCCAAAACGTGGCTTTTCACTTTGAGATACTAAATAAATTAAAATAGCTCATTAACATCTGTAAAAATTATTGTTGATTATTGCGAAAGGAATTCATGTAAGATCTAAAAATTATTAGTGAAAAACTAATGAAGGGACAGAGTGAATGCAATTAATGAAAAGAAAACTAATCCAAGTAAGATATACTCAAATAAAAATGTAACTTAATATATAATATACTATATAATATATACTATATAGTATATCAGTATATACTATAAATTATATCCAAACGATTCTAATTGTCCATGTTCAACTTACACTGAATGCTATAAAAAGGAAAAGTTTCTAAATGTTCTATATCTTACTCTGTATATGAATATATGATGGTTTGTTGAAGAATCTAACAAAAGATCAATGTCTCTATGTACTGATTATATATTAAACACTAATGGTATGTCAGGCACTGGAAATAAAGTGATGAATAAAACACACTAGATTCCAGCTCTTCCAAAGTTAGAATCTAGAAATATATAAGCGTTTAAGTATGCATTACATAAGAGCACATGTAGTTATATTATTTCAGTTATATTATCCTTACCAACACTCGATAATAAAAAAACACAGAATAGGGAGAGCTTTATTTAGATTGTAAGGTTTATGTTAATTTCCTGCTCTGTGGAAAGTAACAGTAAAACTGATACCCTGAAGATAAGTATGAAATAATCAAGCAATGGCATGATAGAAGAAAATGTTAGTATACTTTAGACAGAGGTCAGGGCTGGTATGGGATAAAGGTGCTTCAGTAGACTTATCACCCTTCACAAGCAATCTGACATTTTCTCAATCTGATATAGTATAAAGTTCTATACAAGTGTAGTGTTCCTCATTCCCCAGTCTGATCTGTAAAACTAAGTTTACTGTCCCTAGTCTGACCTTACTGTCCATCAATCATAATATATACACCTATGTATGTACATATATATGTGTGCATTTTGTGTTATATATAATACATACCATATATGTTACATGTTTTATATATACATATATGTTATATAAAATATAAAAACGTGCATAAAATACACAAGGATGTTTCTGCTTGCCAAGAATGGCACCTTTGAGGCTACAGATTCCAAGAGCTGTTTTCCTAATTTATCTACCCAGATTGGAGTGATGAGGCATTTTTTAAAACATTGAATATAAGGGCATATAACATAGAATTTAACAATACAAATAGTATGGAGATAGTTTGTATTAGCAGAAAGGTTTTCAAAAAGAATATGAATATTAATGAGGAAACTTTGTCAAACCATTTTGGCCTTACCTATTAATAGAATTAAGAAGCTATAAATAGTGATATTTGTCAAATATATTTTTACAGTATCTCAGGTACATTCCATACTGTTTAGTTAACATTGGTCAACTTTGCTAACTTGTTATTGATAACTACATCTTATGCATAGTCTTAGAATAAAGTTTCACTTCTTTAAGACAGATAAATTTATAATCTCAATTCCTGATGTGTGTGTATATATCTGTGTGTATTTATTGTGAGTTGAAGGTATAAAACTTTCACCATCATTAAATTCTGGAAAAAACCTCAGAAATAAGGTAAGATGCCAAAATAAGATTAGACAATGAAAGAAGGTGATTTCTCACCATCATTAATCAGTACTTTTGATGCCATAAAAAGAAGAAAATCAGGAGGAAAAAAGGTAAGTTATGCATGAAACGTTCCTTTTTTAAAATTCAGGGTTTTATTTAGGTATAGTATGTAGTTGGCAAAATTCACTTTTAAATTTTTTGAATTTTAACAAATACATAAAGTCATATAACTGCTATCAAATAAAGATTTTTCCAGATATATCATAAATTAATGTCAGTTTACCTTCAAAGAACATTCTTCCACTACCATATGTGACATTCCAGCTGGTGTGTTTTGGTTCTGATTTGCTTCAGTGTCACTGAATTTTCCTATATTTACTACAGTTATTTTTTTCCCTGTTCTCACTTACTATGTTTAAAGAAAGGTTGGACAAATAGGATTGCATGAAGCTGCAGAGCTTCTGCATGGCAAAGGACATAGCTAGCAAGATCAATAGAAAGCCCACGGGTTGGGAGAAGATCTTCACTAGCCATACAACAGATAAGGATCTTATATCTAAAATATACTTGGAACTCAAAAAATTAAAACTCCCAACAACAAATCTTCAAAGAAACAACAGCCTGATAAATAAGTGGGCTATAGACTTAAAGAAAAACTTCTCTGAAGAGGAAATAAGAATGACCAATAGACATATGAAAAAATGCTCAACCTCTCTAGCCATAAAAGAAATGCAAATCAAAACAACATTGAGATTCTACCTCACCCCAGTTAGAATGGCAATAACCAAGACCTCTAATAACAACAGATGCTGGAGGGGATGTGGCCAGAAGGGAACCCTACTGCATTGTTGGTGGAAGTATAAACTTATTTACTTACTCTTTTAGAGAAATTTAAAGTTAGTCTTCAACAATTTCTTGAATTTTCTTTTCTTTATGTAGATACAACTTTCTGTAATAAAGAACTTAAGCTTGAAGAGCTTTTTTTAATATTCCCATAGTCCAAAGTTTCTAGTAATGGGTTATCTGGCTTTGTGTTAAAAGCCAATATTTCTCCCTCATTCTTGCACAATATTTGCACTGCGTGTAGATCTTGGTTGACAATTATTTTTTTCTTTCAGCACTATAAAGATTATACTTCATTATCCTCTGACATGGTTTCTGAAATCTATATTTTTGTATTTTTAATCTAGCAGCCTTTACAAATTTTTCTTTGTTTTTTAGAACTTTAAATATGAAATATAGATGATTTCTTATTCTGATTGTATGTTTTCATGGAGCATTTATCTCACATTAGGATATAAGATCTTTGGGTTTCTATGATGCTTTTTGATACTGAGTTGATACATTTCACCAGCTTTTGGTATTCTTCACCTTTTATCTTTTCTGATATTTATTCTGCCATATTCTATTTCTTCTCCTTTTGTAAACTCAATTCCGTGTGTGTAAGAAAATTTGATATTATCTCTCAAGTCTTAGATGCTCTGGAGTGTGTGTGGGGGTATGGGGGTGAGTATACACACTTGTGTGTCCGTCATTTTTACTGTGTTTTAGTATGGAACATATTTTCTCATCCTCATCTTCACTGTCTCCTCTCTCACCTGTTTCAAGACTAATAAAAATTAACGGGACTCCCAAAGACATTACAGATTTTCCACTTGACTTTTTTTTTGGGGGGGGGTCGGTCATAAGGCCTGAACTCTGGGCTTGGATGCTGTCCCTCAGCTTTTCAGCTCAAAGCTAGCGCTCTACCACTTGAGCCACAGAGCCACTTCCAGCTTGTTCTGCTAATGTGGTACTGAGGAATAGAACCCAGGGCTTCATGAATGCTAGACAAGCACTCTACCACTGAGCCACCTTCCTAGCACTCCAATGGGCTTGTTAAAATATTTAACAATTTTATTGAAATTTCATTTGTTCATGTATGTTTCCCATATTTTTCACTAAAGACTACCATGTATCATTCCTAGTTCTGCTAAACCCTCTTTCTTATAATTGCAACAGCTAATTCATGTGTGAAGCAGATTATGTTGATTTTTTGTCGCTTGAAAATTGGCTATATTTATTGTTTTTATATGCAACATGGAATTTCTATTTGAATGCTAGACATATATAATAGTAAAGATTGAGATAATTAATATTTGCGCCTTGAAATAATAACATTCGTTCTCTGAGTTGATAATATGGAGGAGAGAAACAAGAGAGGAGGGAGAGAGGAAGAGAGAGAGAGAGGGAAAGAGAGGAGAGACTTTTGTCTGTTGTTTCTAGAGATTCTGTACTCTTATGCTACATCACAGAAGGCCTTTAGAAATTTATTTTTAAAGTTATTGATTTTCTTTTGCTGGCAGTCCTGGAACTTGAACCCAGGGCCTGAGTGCTGTCCCTGAGCTTCTTTGCTCAAGGCTAGTGCCAGACTACTTGAACCACAGCTCCACTTCTAATTTTTTGGTGCTTAATTGGAGGAGTATCATGGGTTTTCTTGATGGGACTGGCTTTGAAGTCCTCTGATCTCAGCCTCCTGAGTAGCTAGGATTACAGATGTGAGCCACCAGCACCCAGTTAAAGTCATTGAATTTTTGATATCCAATTTTATGATTACTTTGTCTTCTCCTTGCAGCTATAGTGATCTACTTTTCATGTCCCATCTACCTTTATAGGTGCTTGACTTCTTTTTAGCTTATTGGTTATTGTCTAGACTGAAAAGTTGTGGTTATTTGTGTATTAATTTTTTCCTGTTAGGGTGGCAGAAGTACTCTTTTCACCATTCCCATCCTCACCAGAAGTAAGAACTTTATCCAAATTCTTTTTAATTGAGTCTTCAAGAGCTATCTACTGCATGCAAGAGTCTGTACATATCTATAATTACTAAGAATTTTATGTGACACCTATTCAGATTCAAAGGAAAATGCAGATTTTTCAAAAGTAGATTCCTGTATTAGAGAGAACAGATGCTTGGAGCTTTATTTACACCATAAAGATTTCTCTTCAGCACTCATTGACTTGACCCCCTTTTATTGTGCCTCAAATTAATTTCCTTCTGTTAAAGGGCTGGGGATGGTGGTGCTGTACATTGACTCCACTATCAGAGAACATTCAAGAATATATAATAAACGTTTGAAAAATGTTCATCTTCTTTACACCAATACTTCCACTTTGGAAATCAATGAAATACATTTTAAATATAGGGAAAACTTACAGAGATATACATTGCATAAGAAGCATAACATACTGTGGCGGAGAATGACTGCTTTGAACCACGCAGATTTAATTCAGTCCTTACTTGGCCATTAATGAGTATGACCTTGACCAAGTCATTTAACCTCTCAGTATCCT